CTTGGCCTGCTGTGTTAATCCAGCTCTACACCTTGTTATCTCTCTTCTTTCTCTCAAACCAGCTTCTACTTGATCTCCTGTCTTGTGAGAATTTTTGTGTGCTCACTGAAAAAAAATCTCTCTTGGACGTATATTAAGAACTTAGCTCGCTTTAAGAATTTCTCCATCCCTGTTAACATCTTGCCATTTCCAATCATTTTAGTTCTATACCTCTGAGATTTTGTCTTAATATCCGTATTTGTATTACTCCCTCACTTCTTGGATTTCTACACACCCCAAACAAGATGATTGTCGCTTTTGCTTTAAGTTTTACGCATATGACCTCTTTTGAGGAAGTTTCCAAGATATCACCCATCCTTATTGGAGTTATCTATTCCTTGATCAAAATAGCGAGATTACCTCCTCTTGTGTAGATCTCTCTTCACCTCAGCTCGCCTGAATTGTCTATAATCTGGCATATCATGCCAATTTGCATATGTCTCCTTCAAACAAGTCTCTGTCATAGAATTAGCATCACATTCCCTTGCATTAATGAACAAACTCTATTCATATGACTGACACATGAAACTATTTGCATCAAATTAATGGCACTGAACATTGCCATGCTCCCTTCATTTTTTTTAACTTAACTACATTCACACTGCCTTCTAGATTGACTTTGCTCATCTTGCAAGTTTGTTTTTACATTAGCCATTCCAGTACAGGTAATACATATCCCACTTAACAAAATTAGTTGAAGCCTCAACCAACCAAAAGAGCAACCCTTGCCACCTGACAAGTATGCGGTTGGTTCCATTCAGCACATTTTGCTATTGTTTCAGATTTCCAGCAAAGAACAGAGAACAAAGAAAATTACAGCATACGAACAGATCCTTTGGCCCTCCAAGCCTGCACAGACATGCTGCCCATCACAACTAAAACCCCCTACCCTTCTGGGGACCGGATCCCTCTATTCCGATCCTATTCATGTATTTGTCAAAACGACCTTTTACACGTCAGAATTGTATCTATT